ATGAATGGAAAAAATAGATTACGAAACATCTTGCCCAACAGAAGTCGAGATATTGAATATTGATACCATCAGAATCTTGAGGGTGTGGGTTCACAGAAGATACACACAAAGTCTCGCTTAAAACCCACCCACGCCCTTGTTAAAAGACGCTTTTATTATTAGACAACATTGTTCATTGCATATTTTATTATTATGATGAGTGAAGAAAATCGTTTTTTTAAAGAAACCATCAAAAAACATCCATAGAAATATAAACTATTTTATATGACAAAGAAATAGACTCTCTTGTCATCATACTTGAACAAATCAGCTTCAAATATTCATGTGGATTTGACATCATTCTCTTGTTTCATTTCTAAGACATTATCGAGATAATTAACTAATGGTATTTTATTTGTTAAATGAAGAACAAAAAGAGCTATTTTCAACAAGTCAATGTTTTTTCACAGAATATAACATATAATGTTTCATATGTGAGCACCAAAATATAATCAATTAAATGAATATACGATGAACACAGCCACTAACATCACAATAATGCCGATAACCATCTACAATAAAAAGAACATAAGACAAAAATATATTGAGCTAGAAGGGCGATAGTCGTTTTCGCATATTGATATACTCGGCAGTTCTTTTTCATTTACATTACTTATTATTTTATATTTTGAATTTAGCACCGAGTTATGTTCAAAGAGAACAGCTGTACCAATGAATTTCATACAATCTTACTTCTCTATAATGTTTGAAGTTCTCACATATATCAAAGCTAATTTTTTACGATCAGCATTATCAGAAAAATTCTTCTTATTTCTGAACTTCGAAAAAGATTCATCAATGTTTCAAATTTTGGATTCTCTCACCTGGAAAATTTGTTTACGACCAAAATTTGTGCTTGAATGATTTTCTTTTATACTATTGTTGATGTTACCAATGGATTGTTGCACTTCATATTGACGTAATTTTTGTTTCATTTCATTCGATTCGATTCTCGTTTGTAGTCTTCAATTCGTTCATTGTATTCGATTTGTGTAATAATAGAATCAACAGTCGACTGGGCAAAATTAAGCTGGTCCTGTTGGTGTAACGTCGCCAATCTTCTAATGCGAGTTGCTAATACGTGATTTGTTAGTCGCAGATGAGCTATTTCTCGCGCATGATTATTTCATAAATTTCTTGTGGATGAGAGCAACTGCTGTTGGTGAGAGTTAGCAGTAGATGGAATGTTCTATAAAGACAACACAACACATTATTTCATCGAATAAAGGAAGCAGAAAATATTCGCATGCATCAATATGTGTTTTTGTTAGAATGGTGTTACAGTGTGTTATACTGTAACGTATATCTCGAGTCTATCTATTCTCTTTTCTTTTGTCTTTTCCTTTCTCGCTCCGTTTCCCTCTATTTTCTTGTCTCTGTTTTCGTGTGCGAATATAAACATTGGTTTTCTAAAAGAATCAACAGAGAGATAATAAAACACACACGTTTAAAGTGTTCGTCGCTCTTCGTGAGCGAGAACCCTAACAAATGGGAAACATGTTAGTTAGAATATTTTTTTTCCGAATAATAATACTTCAGTATTCAATGCTGTTAATGGAGCATCGCCTCCTGAATTCATTTCACGCTACAAAATAATAACTAAGAAAAAAGAAAAACTCTGAAAGTATCTGCAAAAACATGCAAACGAAAATGAAGTTAAAAAAATCGACCACCTTGACACCCAGGTAATAGGAAGTTCAGAAAAAAAATGACTAAACCGTGCTATTTACTACCGTATGAATAAAACCCATTATACTGTGGACCAGATGAAAATAACCAAAACCCAAGTGTATGATGCTGTGAATTCTAAGCGAATATGTTATTCATTGACGGTCGATTGCATATACGGACCAAGCAATGTTATTGTTCCTTGTTACTTTGTTTTGTTCAGACAGAATTGAACCGGCAATAAGAAATTGATTTGATAGAGGATATCCCAGGCAGAGCATTACGGCTACCAGAAACGGTCGTATACTGCCGTTTCTCACCGTAAATGGCCGTAACTTGACGTTTTGGTATGCACCGTATTACGGCCGTAATTAATCGTGTCGTAAACAGTTACTAACGACCGTAATGTGGTCGGATATTTCCGTATACGGTCGTTTATGGCACGATACAAAACGACCGTAATACGGTGCATACCAAACGGCCGTAAATTATGGTCAAACGACCGTGTACGACACAAGTTGATCGACCTGGGATAGTCTATGTCAAACATGGAAATGAATTCTAGTGACAACAATCATTTAAGGCTGAATATGACTACTACCATTCGTAGTGTAAACTATTTGTGGCCTTTTTGCTAGTTACTGAAGACTTCTTCTCTTCAAAAGAGAAAGTGAATATTGCTCCTAATCAACGTTCTTAATAGAAATCTAAAATAGGATGTATGGATACACTCTGTTTTCCCGTGTAGCGTGTAACTGTACACGTTGCTTCGGAGATCAAAATGTACAAGTTAAAATGTTGATTTCTATAGATAAAAATACTTCTATTAAAAAGTTACTTTTATTTTATTTCCCATGTTGATGATATTTTTATTCATGACGTACTGTGGTTGATGAAGGAAATATTCAAATGTTATCAGCAGCTGCTGGCGTTCTTTAAGAAAAAATAATAGAAATATTTTAGATTGAAGAAGTTCAAGAATTCGAGCATTTGCTCATACACATTCATGTCAGAAACGTTTACGTATTGCTAATCGTTCTACATAACAACATTTTACAGATGTTCAAGAAAGTGAAGAATTATTAGTTGTAACAATAAATCAATTAATGGATATTATATCAAATAATGAATTAAATATGATATGTAAAGATTTTTTTAATGCTGGTATGCAATGGAATCTATGTGATGTTACACAAAGAAAACAATATTTACCTAAAATACATTTTTAATTTTAATTTGAATAAATGATTAAAATTCTTTAAATATGGAAACGTTCGTTTTTCATTAGTGAGTGCTCGATTTCTTCTTAATTCAGATTCATTAATTAGACCAAACATGTTGAGATTTAGTTGATGAAACAAAAGATTATTTATTGTTGACAAAAGAACGACTAAATATGCAAGGACAAGGATTGCCAAATCTTTGATTTTTGGTGATATTTTGAATCAATAATAGAGCGGATCATAATAAGAGAAGTACTGAAATGTTTAATGGATATAGCAACCATATCCCTATTTCTCTTTATTTTGCTTGTGAGACAAGATATTTACAATACTCGCTGGATAGAAAAACAAGGAAGGACGCCGTGAGCACTGTGAGGATGGCCCTCAATAATCTGAAATTTGTTCTATTGAATGTTACGCTAAAAATGAAGACATTTTTCGATGAGAGAACCTATTTTCAGAACTCTAGCCGCGTAAACAGCTTGGTTTCACAAAACATGATTGATTTATGTTTCTCGGCTTGACCAAACGCGACGCTGTAACATTTTGACAAATTGTTTTGCAATTATCTCGAAAGGCATAAGAACTAATAAGATCGTTCAAACGTCATTCGACGCAGCGTATCATACTCTGTTTATGTCGAAAGAATGACCTAGCTTGCCTGAACTCTCGCGCTTTTAGAAAGGTTTTATCATCGCGTGACACTGTGACAAAAAAGGACCCTCTTTTTCTAGGGCTGCTTATAAAGCTCTAATTTTTTGACAAATCATTTCTTCAAATGAAATGTTTATGGTACCAGGTTTGTCGAGAATTGAATGAGCTTTCAAGCGGTAAAAAATATTTTTTCTGAACTATTTTCGCTCAGATTAAAAATGCAAAAAACAAACGTAACGCTGTGACTCGTTTTTTTTGTCGACCAAATTTGAAGCACTTAACAGGCTTAACAATATTTAATGTCTATATATAGCTATTGATCGCTGCCCTGCATATATCCTTTTGTAAAGAAAATCAAGTTGCTACATCGAAATACGAGCTCAATAATTGTGTAGTAAGTTAGAAACTGTACAAGAGCTTAGAAGTTGTCATGAAGAATGAGAGTAAAAAAATAATAGGCAATTTTGTAGAGAATAAAATTCTTCATCGAATAGTATATTACTCCGTATTTTTGTTTTAAATTTCTTGACTAGAAAATTGAAAATACAATTTTTGAAAACTTTAAAAGCTGATTTCCAATGCCAAGACCCAATATTTTTAAGAAAAAAAGTTCAAATTCACAATCGGCGTAAAAACCTATACCAGAAAATACGCTTAGATCTGCCTATATCGAAAAAAAACAATTTTTAAACTTGATCAACGAAGTAGCGCGTTACGTGGACAAACCGTCCTATAACACAGCGCTGAGCAAGTACAGAATTCTTCGAGTGCGGGTACTTCGAGTATTCTGCCCAGCTCTGCTATAAAAAACGATGCTGCCTGTTTAAAGCCATAAACGCAATGTTAATGTATCATTTTATTCTCTCCATTGCCCATTACCATCAGCTAGAGTCAAAGATAAAAGAGGCTATTACAAAAATTAATAAAACTAGTAAATTTTATCATTATCAATAATCAATGTTAAAGTTGAGTTAATTAACTAAAAGAAAATGAAAGATCAGTTTAGTTCACCTTAGAGTGTCGACGTTTCGGTGTCAATCGCTTAATTACTGGTAAGAGATGAGAACCGGAATCTATTCAAGATTTAAAGCTACGCAATGCTAGAAAACTCTGAGAGTATGACGTTAACGTTGAGAAACATCTGAGATGTATCAAATAGACAATAAATTCAGTAAGCTTTAGATGAAAAATTGTAGCTATTATGAACAAATAACAAAATGTGTAAAATAGATGGCATATGTTAAGAGTTCCAAGAAACTAAATTACGGAAATTATGGAATTTTTTTGTAGTAACAGAGATTTCGGAGATGTCAGGTCTAAAATTTCGGAATTTTCCGTAATTTCCTTTTCTTTTGGAAATCTGAACACTGCTAAAATAAATATGATGAATTTATGTTTGAGACAGTTTATTTACGATCAAAATCGTTCACGAATAGTATAATCGTTGGTACTGAAATCGGGATCCATTGCTGGATTAGCAACATCCGTTGTATCATGTATTGTATTTATGTCTTGTGGTGTGCTCAGATTATGGGAGTTTGCAATATTCTTGTTTGCTATTGAATTAGGATTCAAATGAGCATAGTCACCATACTGGTTGACTTTTTTCTTTGGTCCCCAGTCGTCACTTGGAGAATTGTTTGCTTTAAATGCTCGCAAGAAACGGTATCTTGATGAAAAATTGCCATAATTTGACGGAGTGCTTTCAATCTATCAACAGAAAACAAAGACGATTGATAAATATAAGAATTAATCAACATACCAATGATCGTCGGGAGAGTTTTCGATACTCTTGAATGTAATTTAATATGTAACACACAGGTATTGGTAGGATACAGAAAGCAAAAATTATCCAGCCCAAGATGGCACTCCATTTTGGATAAACATATTCATCGAAACCACCACCAGCCCCGTCTTTCAATGACTGTGTATTCATAAAATTGAGAATGGTTATAGCCTAAAAAAATAAAAAAGAAGATTCAACGGCAGTGTTCTTTTTTTCTCGGAGATATAAGATTTTAAATAATTTTCGTCGGCATTCATTTTTCAAGTGACTTTTTCTTTTAGTCGACCAACAATTATCTCTCGCGTTCTATGCTCGATTGTTAAATCAGAAATAATTTTAGATCGTTCAAACAAAAAAGGAAAATGAATTGAACATATCTCATGAACATCGATCTCCTGACGACTGTTTTGGCTCGGTGTGATGAGATATGGATTTCTACAGACGACTTACAAGTGTTAGAATAGGTGCACTGATAAGCCACGTAAAAAAGAGATAGTATTTGCCTGCTGGATAGCCCAACATCATTTTGACATCGTTCATGAAACGGTTGAATCCTAAAATAAGAGCATTGTTTTTTCACAAGGACGAAAAATTCTTCTCAAAAACCATACCATACACGTAAGCAACAGTGACAACTTCGAAGAAACCAATAACGACCAGAGATATATTAGCTGTATACTCTTGAAATAAAGAAAACAGATAGATTCCACCCTAAACATGCAAAACAAGTGCTCCGTCATAGTTTCAAAATTAACTATCATTTGAAACACTCACTGGACATGTAAAAGGAAGACTAATAACATAACAGAGTGCACAAGTGACTACAACAACCAGCGATCGTCGTTTTTGTAGGGCTGGAATATATTCCATAATAGCAGTGACTGGTACATCAGTGGAGGCAAACTATAGCGCACAAAAGAAGTGACAACTGTGATAGACATACAAAATTGGTTTACTTGTGAACCGAGACCCAGTGCCAATAACATTAGGAAGAAAATTACGGAAAAGAATGGACTACCAGGCATTCTTGAAAGTGCTTCCGGATAAGTGATAAATGCTAAACCTGGACCTGACGATTCGGCATATTTTTCTATGCTTTCACCTAATGATTTAGCCAAAAATCCAGCTGTGGCAAAAACTGCAAAGCCAGCAAAGATGCCAGTGAAACAATCACACGAAACCACAATACACATTTGCCTATGATTAAAAACAGAGGATTCGAACATAGAAGGAAAGATTTATATTCACCTGAAAAAATTATTGTTAAATTTGTTCGCTGATGCATATGCCATCAATGAGCCAAAGCTAAGACTTAGTGAGAAGAATACTTGAGAAGCTGCCGATTGCCATATCTACATGGAAATCGGCATCTATCTCATCTTAATTTCGAATTATATAATTTCATGCATTGCTTTCTAGTTCTGAGAAATCTGATCAGAATACGTAAGAAAGAACTCTTTGAAATTCTTTTAAGTCCTGTTTTTTGAGTGTTAATAATCTCACTAGATGATATACCTTAAAATCTTTAAGAAGATGCCATCTGGGAATAACATAATATTTGATACCATCGACGGCTCCCTCTAGTGTTGAACTATAGATGATGAGTATCAGAAGAACTAGATACGGAAATATGGCTGTAAAATAGGCAACCTAAGACATTGATATAAGTATTTAAAAAAAGATAGAATGATATAGAACACGCCTTTCCCGATGATTGAACACCACGAATAATACATAAACAGACGATAACCCATGCGGCGAGTAAGCACACGGCCATGTATGTACCTGGTGTTCCGAAATCATCGAAACTCGAGCTTTTTTTCAAAAGTAATCGACTAAAATGATGAAAATATAATTTTTTTACCTGTAAATTTCATCTTATTGGAAGTTTCTGCAGTAAAAATAAATGCAGAAAAGAACGATAGAGCATCGATTGAATGAATTTCTCTTCTGTCAGATTTATTAAAGGCCAAGAAACTCACTAGTAGAATTCTTCAGTAGCTGTGACTCTTCCAGTTGTATTGAATGGTGAACAGCCGTAGCTGGAGAAATTATTATATTGAGCTTCTGTACAATTCCATGTTGTTCCATTAATTTTATAGACTTCATATCGTGATCCAGGTACAAAACATCGATCTGAATTCCACCAATTACCGCACTGGGACCATAAAAGTTTCTTACGAAATGAAAGAACAAAATAAAAGAAGGCCCAACTAATGATGACATTATAGCTGAGCATGCCAAGAACACTATTGACAATCATAGCAATACCCACACCTAAAAAATAGGATAATAACAAATCATAAAATCGAAGATTTAACTAGCATTTTACCTCTCCATCCTTTCGCAAGCTCAAATCCAGTGGCTGGACCTCTGCTTGAGAATTGACCAAGAGCTAGTTCCATATAGTACAACGGAGCTCCGATCAAGAAGTAAAGCGTGAAATAGGGAATGAGAAAAGCACCTAAACATTTCATCCGATTAATAACGAAACCAATCTATTTTTTACAACTAACCTCCACCACTTTTTGCCGCCAAATAAGGAAACCGCCAGACATTACCGAGACCAACCGAGTTTGAAATCAGCGATAAGACAAATTCGATTGGACGATCCCATTGATGAACATCTTCAGGCTAGATAAATTTTGAAAAGTAATAATCGACTTTGTTGACAAAAAAATTGATTCACCTCATCTTGGTCCGCATTTTTATCATTGCTGTCTTTCGTTGGGCTCACAGGAGCTTTCGGTTTGCAACACTAAAATCAATGGGTGTTAACTTCTATTAATAGATTCTGTTAATTGCTGATAGCTTTTTCTTCTTTTTCAAATTAGAATTCATTTGTAATTCTTTTTCATCAATGCTGATCAACCCCGTTTTGTTCTTCTACAGTGAATATTTAGTATCATGTTGATCGATTATAATTTTAGTGCAAAATAATCTGTTGATGTAAATGTTTGCTTTCTCTATTCGATTCATTAGAAAAATCATATGATTACAAATACACAATACGAGTGAGAAAAAGGTTAAGACTACTGTTTTCAAAAATGTTGACTTTTAAAAATAAATCTGCTTCATGATCAAAATTCTGAGAAAGTCGAAATTCTTATTTTCGTAGGATGAATAGCGTCATTTATACAGCAAGAATGTAACTATAAATCATTAAGAGGACATTGTGCGATAAAAGTAAAATTCAAAAGTTCAACATGATTAATCAATCATGTACACATCAGACTGTATGTCAAAACAACAAAATGAATACCCGTGACATAACAAATATCAATAGCTAATCCGTTTAAATCCAATTTAAACGTAAATCTAATATTAAATAAATCACAGATGAATTGCAAGAAAAACACGCAATATAATCTTTTCATAACAACTATAAGAGCAAGTTTGAGTGCAATTTCTACAAAAATTTAAATGTGACATATGAGAAACTGTCCTAGTAGGGCACGTGTACTTCTTGAAGTTTTTCATATTTCACACGCTCTAGAACTAAGAAACAAACGAAAACTATTTCAAAAAGATCATTCACAACACAATATGACTGCTTATTGGTCGCTACGGTTTATTGAGGAATAGAATATTATTTATTTATTTAACTGCGTAGAAAAAGTCAAAAACGAAAAGTATCTCTGACAAAAATATTGTTTCATTGGTCAACTACTATTATCGAGAGGGAAACTAACAGGTGACAAAAATCCCACATCAGAGTATATTCTTGTATATATTGACGAAATTGAGTCGATTAAGTACGATTGCTCGCATCTATCACTAGAATATGAGCGTGCCGAGAACAATTGTTTACTAATATACATAAGCTTAAACTAAATTAAAAAAATCTAACTTTCCGAGTTAGTAAGAATCTACAAAACTGTTCCTACACCAAAGTGACGATTAATAATGCTTGGCTAGTAATTGAAACAGTAATGATCTACTGGGATTTTTCTCTAACTTTCAATTGGAGTAGAGATGAATTGTATTATGACCAACCGATGTAACCAGTATTAACATATCTTTTTTTTTAATGAACTATCTCTGTATCTTAATTTCAAAATCACTATAGCTCTATAAACGTATGAATGAAGTTTTCTGCAAAATGATCAATTCATTCATTTGATGTTAGAAGTAACTTACTCGAGTGAAAGGATTTGATACCATGCTATTGTCGTAAGAAAATATATCGTGTATTTTGTTTTACACAATTTAATCGATACTGACAATAACATCGATGATAACATCGATTCTTATCGCTGATACTTAGTAGAACAACAAAATCTAAAGGTTGTGCTATTCAGGTAACTTAAGTCTTATGCAAAACAAAACCCACATAAACATGGATGTCGCATTAGCTTCCTTTTCTTCTACTGATCCTCTTTTGATCAATTAGAATTCAGGTAATGTCAGATCGTTCTTGGTGTGTTATCTCGCCTTTTTCACAGTTAAAAACTTTCAGTTTTAATGACAGGAATAATTTTGGTGCATAAAACTATGGGTATACTTGAACATCTGAATATTTTTATTCATATCCAGATCATGAAGGATCAATACAAGAACAAAAATTTCACATTAAGTCACGTCCATTATTTTCTTTTACTATAAACAATTTCTAAGTATTCATTAAACATAATTGTTCTTTTTATTTCTAATGAACTAAGCACTTTCACCAAATCGTTCTCTATTTTTAATTAAAAACGCAGCCAAATATTCGATTGGTTTTTTCGGTCGTTCTTTTGCTACAACAGATAGGCCTTCAATAATAATTGGAGTCACTGTTTTATTGAAATAAGCTGCTATTGGAAATGCTTGAATATCAGCAAGAGAAGGAACACTAGGCGAGTTGAGTTCATGATCGATTATTTGTAATATATTTGATGGTAATTGTGGTGGACCACCTGCCATTGTATTCACTGATGATGAAGTTGGGTCGTGAAGAAGAACATCAGCTGCAATGATATCGTTGGTTGTTGGATGCTCTGAATTAGCCATTGGTTAGTTAGACTGAGAGAGTGAGACAAGAATGAAGAATATCAATGGATAAAGTCATTGTCATGAAGTTTGTCGTTACCACGGCAACACCTCTACGTTTTTCTACTATTCGTAGAGCAGTAACTGTGGCGCTGAATTGATTGAATTTGAAATAGATCATATTTTAAAATAAGTTTCTCTCAAATAACTGAATCGAGATGGTTAAAACAGTTGAAAAAGTTTGTTACTATGAAAATCGAAACATAGTCACACACAACTGATCGCAGTTCGTTTTTTGCTATTCAATTAATCTTTTGGATCATCATCACAATTATCGAATGACAGAACTTGCAAGACTTTCATTCAGATTTCTCAGCAGCAACGAGAATAAAAACATTCACAGCTGATACTTCAAGGGGGAAAAGCGCGATTTCCGTAATCCCCTGTGTACTTCAAAAAAGTTTTGAAGTAGATGAAGCCGCGCTTTTTTCTCCTTAGATATTGTCAGAACTATTTTACGCTCTTTAATAAAATTGCTGAAAATTAAAGAACAGTTAGAGATATGTTTCCTTCGATTACATGAGATAACTTCATTATGTGACTCTCCATTCGTTTATCAGTAAGATTCCATTGATTCGAAATTACTCAGGTGTGTTCCAAAACGTGATATGTATGTCACAGTTTACATGAGAATTTCAGTTGAGATTGGAATGCGTGCAGAAAATATAATTAATTGAAAAGTATATTTTTCTTTCTGCTAGTGTTATCAGATTATATGAAAACAGAAAAGAAATATTCTCACATAAATTCAATTAATCATTTAGTGTCTCTATTCATGAGAAAAGGATGGAAAAATCAGTTATATTCATTCAAAATAAATTATTGTTAGTTTAACGAAATTTTATAACGCTCACACACGCCCGTGGACCGAATATGATGACTGATATAAAAAAAATACAAGGAATAATTATTAATATAGGAATTTCTAAAGTTAGATCTCAACAAAATTCTGTTAAAAAAATTAAGAAAAAAACTATTCCAAACTCGCCTGTCACATGTATTTTAGTTAGTTGACTAGTTGTATTTTGTTTCATTGAGAGCTTCGATAGTTTGATACAGTTATTGCAGAATCGTCTTTCATACCACATGGCGAAAACAAATCAATTTTATCTTTGCATGTCTCAATGAAAGATGATCGATTATAGTATTTGCGTTGCATGATTAAGAGTACTAAAATTATTTTTCATGATATACATTTAACTGAATTACACGCGTACGTGTTGATATTATAGCTAATAAAAACATAAACTGAACACTTTATCGATTCTGATAATTTCTGGCTATTTGAGTTTTTATAGAAACTTCTTTTCTAAAAAAAATGACTTTACTCTTACCTATATCTAAAAGAGCAATCAATTTATGTTTCACGACATCTTTAACATATTATATTTCAGTTTTGCTCAAATAGAAATTTTTAGTTAATAAAAAAAAGTTTATCTTCTACACAATTCAATAACAGCCACGTAATTCTTGAGAGAATATTCTTACTATTTCGACTCAAGATATTTCGAACAAATTTTAAAGTAGAACAGTCTTTCAGCATTTCTTTTACGAATGACTATCATTTGCCCCAAATTGGAATCCCCAAATCGATCCCCAAAAGAATCCCCATTTGGGGATGATAAAACAATTCTGGTAACCAAATGGAGATTTTAATTTGAGGATTTTTTTATCATAAGATACACTGTGTATCTTATAATTCAATCGCATCTTGCTTCTCGCACTACACAGCATCAACTCTAGAATAAAATTTTCTAGCATGATCATTGTGTTAGCCACGGTTCAATTTATGTTCTGGTGATCACAAAGTGATTTTTCACTCAATATTGCATTATGTAACAAATATGACAACTACTTTTAAATGCCTAACATTTATCCCAAAACTGGTTAGCAAAAATCAACCCCCAAATAAAATCCCCATTTGAGGTAATCAAACGAATAAAGTGAGGATATTGATTTGGGGATTGTTTTTAATTCGCTAAACATAAGAAAAACAGCGCTACGATGAATTTGGTGACCAGATTATATCTTGGGTTATTATAAAGTGTAGCTTTTGGCGACCCACAATATATTCTGGCCATCAGATTCATCGTAGCGCTGTTTTTCTTATGTTTAGCCAATTAAAAAATCCCCAAATCAATATCCTCACTTTATTCATTTGATAACCCCAAATGGGGATTTTATTTTGGGGATTGATTTGAGGTAACCGGTTTTGGGGTAAATGATAGGCATTCGCATACTTACTTCAGTTATTATACATAACATACGTATTCATAAATCAAGAATCTGAAAAATGTGTTTTCTACATATATAAAGTCAGTCAATACAAAGCCTTCCTATAATGNCGCATACTTACTTCAGTTATTATACATAACATACGTATTCATAAATCAAGAATCTGAAAAATGTGTTTTCTACATATATAAAGTCAGTCAATACAAAACCTTCCTATAATGAACACCTCCCTTAGTGAACACATTTTGAACGGTCCGCATGGTGTTCACTCGAGAGAGGTTTTACTGTACTTAGTAAAAGAGCATGTTCATAGCATGACTATGATCTTCAGCAAATGGATTTTTGCGAACAACATAACATAATGTGTAAGTTGTTATTTTGATGTCAAAAAAAAAACCATCAGCGAAAAATTCATAAAAATAGAAAAATAATTTCTATTATGACATTTTCATTTAATCAGTATCGATTAACTTTTTCGTAAGAATGGCGTCAATAATCTACGTGTGCATTTCGTAGTTCAAGGCTATGCACATGAAAATAGTAGGTGTTGTAGTAAACAATAGCCTCATATTTTGCAAAATAAGATAAACATCTTGTAAGTATTTACCTTGAATAGATGGACTATATATATATATAATGCTCTTTTTTTCTTATCTCTTTTTCGATGATGATTGAATACTTAGTCTCCGCACAAATTCTTCGTATTTTCGTCTTCGAAAATGTTTTGCATGAAATACAAAACAGTTAAAGTTCATCTTTATCTTTGCGACATATTAGATTATTATAACCATGCCTAGTAATATACGCGTCGGCTCGCAATTTGGTAGAAAAATAAAAGGTATTTATGTTGTGTTGTTTGTTAATCTTCTTTTTTTCACCTATATATGTATATAAGTAAGAAGTTCTTACCATTATTCTTCTTTTCTTGTGTACTAGAGTACCCAGTAAAACAGAGGAAAACAATAGATCAATTATTGTATATTTTACAAGAAAATGGCATTACCAACATTGAGCGCTGTTGACTATATTCTTCTCATTTTACTTCTTCTGTCATCAGCGATTATTGGTGCTGTGTTTGGTTTTGTTAAATCAAAAAAAAGTTCAGCGAAAGAATTTCTTCTAGGTATTTTGTTTTTGAAAATAATATTCATTTGATAGAAAATTAAAATCTTTTTTTGCCTTTCGATTGTAGCTGATGGCGGCATGGGAGTAAGTATTAGACTATTGCTTTACTTTCAGGTTGATTATTCTACATTCAGGTATTCCCAACAGCTCTTAGTATTATGGTTTCGTTTCTCTCAGCTATTACATTACTAGGAACACCGAGCGAAGTCTATATGTATGGAACTATGTATTTATATCAAGGTGAAATATGTTTCTTTTTGTTTTTCGTTCATCAATCTTTAATTTATCCAATCAATGTGAAAGAAAACTATCCATACACTCAGCATAGTTTGAGACTATATAAATTTAAATATTACCTTAAAAATTTCGAATCTTTATTTTTCTTCGTTTTTAAATATAAGCAATAGCGTTTGATTTTATTCGGTAGCTATTTCATGGATAATCGCTTCAACATTGACAGCATTGATATTTATGCCGAAATTTCGTGAATTGAACTGTACCAGTGCTTATGAAGTATTGTTTTCCGCAATTGTTTCAAGTATTTCCTATTACATTAATAATTATATAGTACTTAGAAAAACGTTTTGATCGATCAGTACGCATGTGTGCTTCATTTGCATTTTCATTCTTTATGGTAAAGTATCCTATGAATATCGCTTAATTATTTTCGTATATCATTAGTTAATTTATATGGCTATTGTTTTATATGCTCCTGCATTAGCACTAAGTCAAAGTAAATTATTTATTCAATATCAAATAAGAAAAGGACAAATCGCTACTCTTTTAGCTACTGGTTTGAACATTTGGATTTCTGTCGTTTCAATTGGTGTAATTTGTACGTTTTATTCATCAGTGGTATGCTTTGAAAAGAAGAAGCAAATAACAATAGAGAATATATATCATTCACATTTATTATAGGGTGGGATGAAAGCAGTCATTTGGACCGATGTTTTACAAGCAGTAGTTATTCTTGTGGGACTTCTTGCTGCTATTATTCAAGGTTGAAAAAAATGAAATACGAAAAATCTTTTATATACTGTTTAATTTTATGTCTACAACTGTTTAGGTTTTATTTCCCTTGGTGGCGTGCGGGCAGCAATATCCATTGCATCCAAAGGTGGTCGAATTGAATTCAATAGGTATCGTATTAGACTTGAATGTTCTTCCTTCACACTTTTTATATATAAAAACCAAGAGAAATTTCGAATTCAAACAATAAAGTAACTGAACAATCGTATCTTTTTTCATATCAATCAAATGTACTCATAGAAATTTCATCAGTGCTATATTGATAAATTTATCTACAGAAAGCAATTCTATATAATACATTCAAATTATTACCCTTGTCATACAATGGTTCGCTTTTTTGATTTTTTCAGTGTAAGCCTTGATCCTCGCGTTCGCCATACAGTTTGGTCACTACTCATTGGCGGTTCGTTTAATGCTTTATCTACGTACGGCTTTAATCAAACTCAAGTACAACGGTACATGTGTGTTCGTACGACTCGCGGTGCTAAACAAGCATTATTTATCAACGCATTTGGTGCTACTATTATCATTTGGCTATCTGGCATTATTGGACTGATTCTCTATGCATACTATGCTGAGTGTGATCCATTCACAGCTAAATATGTGACTGATATTGATCAAATATTCCCATATTTTGTTATGGAAGTATTGAGTGGTATAAAAGGTTTACCGGGAATTTTTCTTGCTTGTGTTTTTTCTGGTTCATTATCAACAATATCATCTGGTTTAAATAGTCTTGCAGCGGTGATTATTGAAGATGTCTATAAAGGTTTAATGGGGAAAACTCTAACTGATGAACGACAAGGCTTGGCATCGAAAATCTTTTCAATTGTATTAGGAGCTGTAGTCATGTTGTTAACCTATGTTGTTAGTTATCTTGGATCAATTCTTAATGCTGCATTATCATTATTTGGTGTTTTATCTGGTCCAGTGATGGGCGCGTTTTTTCTTGGCTTCTTTTTTCCACAAGCCAATAGTCGCGGTGGTTTTATTGGATTTATAGCGAGTCTTTTGTTACAACTGTGGATATTTTTGGGAGCACAAATAACAAAAAATCAAATGAAAAGTGAACGCTTGCCATTATCAGTTGCAAACTGTCCTACACTAGTAAATATTACAACAACATTAACAACATCGACTAGGTCAGATTTTGCAAAGATTAAAAAATAACTTAATTGCTCTTGTATCTTTCATTTTTTCCTAGATCTAATCCATTAATTGATTTTTATTCTGTAAGCTATATGTGGTATACACCAATAGCTGTGGGCACTGTTGTAATAGTTGGACTTATTGTATCTTACATAACTGGTCCGCAGAAACCAAATGAAATCGATCCTAAATTACTCATATCTGTTAGTGATTTATGTTGCTGTTGTTTACCTAAACGTATACGTGATTGGTTTCGATGTGGCATTATTGAGAATGGTTATTTTGAGAAAAAGGTTTTCTTTTTTCTTTGAATCAAAAACAAAATATGAATTTTATTTTTTTTAATTTAAGGCTGAAAATGATATTGAATTACCAGTATCGGAAGAATTCGATAAAGCCCGTAATAGTTTTTGTTCACAAACATTTAGCACAGATACAAAAGATACATTTCCATCGGATATTGTAATAGAAAACGTAGTGGAAAAAGGTCACGATAATCCAGCAATGGCGATGAAAGACTAGGAATCTCGCGAATTGAATCATACATAATAAACTAGATTATATACATAAATACTCATCTTAAAAAATTATATTGTATGAATATTCGTTTGAAAATAAATAAATTTTAATTACTAGACCGAAAGTTATTCAATCGTATTATTTGTGGAATTCATAATAAAAACTTATTGTCGAGTACCATTTACTATATAAAGTCAACACTTCGAACTATAAACATCTTTCAGCGACTTAAAGTTATGCATACAAACTTTTCTAAATAAAATTTATCAAATTTTAAAAAGCGTTTCAATCATCGGCAATAAACATCTGTAACCTATTAGTACAATCACAAGTTCTGATTGTAAAATCATAGTTCTATTATTTAAAAATAATAACAATCAAAAAAGAGGTAATATCCACAAATCGTCTATTCTTTAAAAAAAAACATTATTTTCATAGAACTTTTAAAAATGACAGAGAATAATAATTGAAATTTGACTATATCCAGAAAGAAAACGGTCCTCAACGGCATACTAACATCATAGATTATGTTTTACGGATTATTTTTGCTCTGGATGATTAGTATCTTGAGCTCGTTCAAGTTTTGTTTTCTTTCTTTTTGCATATTGTTGTTTAACTTCTTCATCGACACCGTCATGTATTTGTTCATTTAGAGATGTTCTATTGAAATAGAATAGGACGTTGGCATAAAAATGGTTTATCAACAAGATGATATAATTCAAATAAAAACGATGACGAACAACAACATATATATGATAGTATCCATAAAACTAACGAACGTATTTGCAAACAAAATATGTCATAATCAGATAATGTATCGTCATCAATACGACTTTGAAGAAGTGTACTATGTTGAACTAATGTTGAAATTTCACCAACCGCCAAACCTAAAATAAAAAAAAAATTTGAATGAAATCATTTAGAACAAGACAGACAATTTACCAATTAATAAGTTAATCACAAATACCATCATAACACATCCCGTCAGAATGAAAATTATAAAAATGTAACTGGATAATAATTTGTGCTACCTCCAGATTGCTTAGAGAACCTATCAGTGAAATTCATTTCGAACATAATCAGACTTGTTTTAATTAATGCTGTTAAAGGTGTTGATTACACACATCTTGATTTTGAAGTAATGCATAATAGGTAAAACCAAAACCAAATATAAGTGCAAGAAGAACAGGTAGAAAACGCGTAAATTTTCTGAAAATAACTTTTAACATTACCACGCATATACCAATAATCGGTAAACATCGAACGCATCACCATTTGAATCCGGTATAATTTGAGCATTTACATCTTCATTATAATTTATTATAGCTAATTCTAAATCATTATAAAGTTGATCATTACGTATGGTTGTATCACAATGCTTTTGTAAGAGTTGAACAATAACAGATCGATATCCATTTGTACATGCATACTGAAATGTTGTCTCGTGTTTATTTGTATAAGCGTTTATACTGACAAGATTTTTCTCGAGCAAATGAGTGACCAAATTATGTTGATCCAGAAAGTTTTTGAATATATTTTACATTAATTTAGATCTTTAAAACTATTGAATAGAAGTCTAAATATGACATAGCATAAAGTTGATATTTCTGCTGATCATTATAAATGTACTTTTAGATGCAAACATTATATATATGTATATATACTAACGAATACTACAAAGTTCATATATGACTTCATCTAAATTTTCACAAAAATGTAAATTTTTTTCGTGTGAAAATAAATATGGGAAGATTCTTTAATGATTTTGTACTTTCCGTTGCTGCTAAATGTAAACATGCTCGTCTATCATCGTCACCAATAGCTAGCAATTCAATTCAATTCCCTTAATTCGTTGGATTCCCTTCAACGGTGCCCACACGTGGTCAAATCATCACCCTGAATAAATGATTCAATCAGTTTACAAGAGAAACATTTTCAAGTATCAATTAAGTCAATCATATCATCTACCTGCTATTACTAGTGACATCTATCATATATGATTGAAAATTCTGACGGAAAACGTAATTCCTATTCTTTATTAGATATATTCCTAATCATGAAATACTATGAAGAATATTAGTTTTCTTTAGAATGAAAGTTTTTACGTTGCTAGGCAACATGTACTGAAGATGTTGATTAATGATATTTAACTATAGTGCATTGATCTTAACAATAAGTAATCATGGTTGAAGAGGCACTGTCTAACTTTGGTTTATTTATTGATGATGAAAATAAAATTCGTTTGATCGATCCTGAACGAGTGACTGACTCAGCTGAATTACGTGATGAATGCAAAGATTTTACTGATAGTAAACTATAAATATTGTTTTTATAATCTAATTTGCGATTTATTTCTTAAGATGTACTTGAATTCAAGAAGATCGTGGATACATTAATTGAAAAAACTGAACAATATTCAAAACAAGTGGAAGCAGCAAGACTTAAAGTAAGCTTTTTTCCCAAATGCTAACTAGTAGAACTAAAGTTCCATATTAAATTTATTTTCTCGTTGGTGTACAAAGCTAAGTGTTGCATGTAAAAATAGATGCGTACAAGAATATAAACGGAGAATCATCACGATTACTCATGCAAAATATTGATACGAGTTTTTGGAAAATTATTATCGTTCGCTCGGAAGAGAATTTATTGATTTAGAATCAAATTGCATTCCATATAAATATTTTTATAATTCTAAACTTGCTGTTTTCTAATCTTTCAGAGAACTATTCAGAATTCGAAATATAGTTTTGACCTTTTTCTCGTTCAATGTTTGCGATAGACGATCATAATAGTTTTTATTTTATCTCACTCATTTCCACTTCGTTATTGATTGAAGTTCTGATTAAAACACATATTCATATTTTATATATTAAACGTTCAGGCGATGGGAGCGAAAAATATGTTGAAATCCGCCGCTAAATACCGTGATTTTGAAAAACAACAATTGCAATCATTAATTAAAGAAAAAATGGTCGAACTTGAACGGTATAAAATATTCTGTTTTTTATAATCGTTTTACTATATCTAAATATTTATACGTAATAGACTTCGAACCGAATATGAATCCTTACAAAAAACTGAGCGTGAACAAAGTGAAAAAATGGAACAACTCTCATTGAAAGCGTATGTTTGATTATTTTATTTTTCTATATATCGAATTGACTTTTTGTTTTCTTTTATTTTAGAGCATAAAATTTAAT